TTTGTGTACTTGTCTTGTTAGAATATAAATTGTTTAAAGGAAAATATCTTATTTTTTTCTGTAATTCCCACGTTGCCCAATAAAGTGCTTTGCTGATATGATATTTCCTTTGTAAAACCTCCTGAACACTTTTTACACATCTGGTTACCATAGCACTTCATATATATTAATACTTCATTGAAAGGATCAATAGTGTCAAATATTTCAGAGTTACAGCACTTATGTTGCATTGTAAGTTTTGGGTTTTGCACACCTAACAGATTATAAGCTAAACCCTTGGAGGATGGGGTGGGAACTATCTTGTTCATTTTGATATCCCCAGCACCTATTACAGTATCTGGCACATAGTAGATACTCAGTAAATTTGTGTGCAATAAATAAATGAATGTAGAACTGCGATCATGTCAAATGCTCAGAATTTGAGGTTCTCTCCAAAATTACCTTCATTTTATTATTGTGTCCCTTTCCTTCTTCCTCAGTCTCCTTATTGTTGATCCTACTACATTAGACCCTTCTGCTTGCACCTCCAGTTTGATACAGTGATTCACTTCCTTCTATGATCTTATCCTCTCCTGTGATATTGAATCTAAGGATAGATTTGGTAACAAATGTTATGGCTTACCTTTCCTTAGGACTGCCCACATCTGTACATTGCCTTTTATGGGCAGCTCAGATATTAATGCTCCACAGAGAAATCACAAATGGAGCAAGCAGTTCACTACTGTCCTGACCACTCTTCTTCACATCAGTGATACTGGAGGAAGGCTTATGAAGCTTGGGAATCTAGTGAGATATATGGGAGCTCTGTCCCATCTAATCCAGCTGGCCAGTTATGCAGCTGCAGACATTGACCAGATGTGTCTTCCAGCTCATTCTGTTGGCAAGTAGGAGAATGGATTTGAGGGGAGCAGGAGGGAGGAGTCTCTTAGGTGACTGACTTGAGTGATAAGTGGGTGGTGAGGACATCCAAATGTAATAGAGAAAAAAGAGGGGTACAAATTTTGAAGGGGAAAACTACTGAGTTTAATTATGGATATACTGAATTTTAGGCTGTCCTAAAAAACTTCTAAATGAATATATGTAGTAAGCATTTGGAGGAAAGAATCTGAAAATCAGGAAATAGGTTAAATTTGAGAGTTCTTAAAGCGCAAGAATCAGTGAGATTGCCATGGATACAATATAGTATTAGAAGTCCCATTAGGAGCAGGACTCAGTATTTAAATGAAGAAGGGAGTGGACCTATGAAGAGAAGACAGAGAAAGAATGATCTGAGAGTAAGAAAACCCAGAGAAGCCTCCTCTCTACCCCCAGACAAAGCAGAAACAAAACATAAAGGAAAACAAAGACAATTAAAAGGATGTATCAATAGTGTCAAATATTGCAGAGTAAGGTAACTACAAACTACCCTTTGGATTTGATAATTAAGGAGTCATATAATCTTACTGAGAACAATTTCATTGGAATAGGAGAAGGAAAAGCCTCATTGTAGTGTCTTGAGATCTAAAAGCAAGATGAGAAACTGGAAACAGCATATGTAGGGGATTCTCTTAAGTTTCTTCTAAGAAGAAAGATAAGGCGGTATTTAAATCCTTGTAAAGCCTAGGAGCCAGGCCTTCCTCCTAATCCCTTAATGCCTGACCAGTCTCATAAGAGTGGAATTTCTCAGGCAGCCAAAACAAGGAACTAGGATTTTCTTAGAAACCTAGGCCATAGAAGGTTCAGGAGATCCTAGCTTTTCTGCTACTTCATGTGTATTATGTAATATTTAAATGCGCATCTGCCCCCTATCAGGGTATCCCAGATCATGTGTGCTACAAGCCTAACTCTTTCTCTTTGTTTCCCACTGAAAAAACATTGCGATAAGGTAAGTGAATGGTGACATTGTTATGGGACTAATCTTAATCCTGTATATAGTGTATTCTAAAAAAACTTAACTTGATCATATTCAAAGTTTGTTATTAGTAAAAAATTACCTCATGCTTCTTCAAAACTAATTATGTTGCATATGCTCTGAGACCATTTTTGATAATTTGAACTAAGTAGTAGCTCAGTAA